TTCACTGTTTTCCGATCGTTTCGATGTTCTCTTCTGTGCTAACATCTAAATGGCTGCAGGAGGCCGTAAATATTCGCTGGGAACTTACAGTAATTGATGTAACAAACATCCCTCTATAAATCAGTGGCTGCACTTTTAATCATTACCTTGATCCCCCCCCCCCCTCCCCTTTAGATATTACCCTGGTGGTGGTATATTAGCTAGGAGCGAGCATAAAGAATGCCCGGGTTAACGTATGTGAACATGGGACCCAATCTGTTCTGCATTCTTGCATCCCGGATGTTTCTTTTGCCGTCATGCATGGTCAGTCAGACGGTTCAGCGCAAATGTTAATGCGCCCGCAGCCGGGGGGGGGCGGGGGGGTCGCCGGCTCCCTATGTGCATCTGAAAGGACTTCCAGTAATGAAAACGCGGGCGATGCTTCATGTGTCTGTTTCCCCATATCGGCTGGATGAGCAAAAACGTTCAGCCTCAAGTTAATTTAAACGCCACACCTAAATAAAACACCACATTTGAAAATAAACACATTCTGTCTGCTGTTGTTTTGCGAAAATCCCTGTTTTTGTGTCACTTATTGGATTGAATAGGCCTGCAAATGTACAGCTCAATCTCTCCCTTTGGGTCCTAACTGCAATTTTCTGACTTCATTTACTCCAACTCTTAGATTTAGATCTTCACTGTGAAGGCAGAGCTTTGGAAATCCTCATACGAGTCGGCTCTCGTCTCATCTTTTCTGTGATGATGTTATTTCCTGTTTCTGTTGCGACTGACTACCTAAAAAAAAAAAATCCTCATAAACATTTGAAATTGTCTGATTTCATAACGGCAGGCTGACTGATGGAAAAAGGAGCCTCTGCAGTCATGGCGCCATCAAAAATAGATGAAAGCGTTCCTCTTGACGTGAACGAACCCCTTTGAAATGCGTCTTTCGAGTCTAGTGAAGATCGTGGAGGAAGCCTTACAGGCGCTGTTTGGGGGAAGAGTTCTCACCTGGTCCGTAGGGCTGCAGGTACCAGGTGCGTCCGGAGCGGCCGGGCTGGGTGGTGCTGGGCAGCGTGGGGTTGATGGCGCGGCTGGTCTTCACGTCGCCCTTCTTGTCCTCGGCGGTGGGGATCTCCAGGACGGGGATGGGGGCGCACTGCTCCAGCTGCCCCACGGGGGACAGCACCTCCGTGAAGCCCTCCTCGCACACGCAGACGCCCGCCTGCAGGGGGCAGCGCACAACCACGGCTGAATCGAGCTGGCCTCAAAAGTAGATCCACAGTGGGGGGGCTTTGGGGAGGCTCTCTGGTAAATTGAGCTGGTTTCTTTTACAGATCACACACCATACATCCTCCTCATTTCACCTTATTGACTATTCCAGAAAATGTTTGTCACATCTTGTGGCTGCTTCCTGTTTCTAATAAAGGTGGAACAGCTCATCATATCAACCACCTTCCATCCAAAGACACAGATTTACGTTCACAATTACAAATATAATAATTAACATCTGCGATGAATAAGATGAGGATTAAGTGACTTGCCCAAAGAAACTTATAGCTGAGCAGTTTCCATTAAAAAACAAACAAACAAAGAAAAAACTCAACTAAAACTAGGTGGATATTGCTTTATAGTGCTGTGAAGGAAGAGCTGTCTCAGGTTGAAAACACTTAAACGCAGCTTTTTACACCCAGAGATGACCGAGAACTATTTTTCATCACACAGCCGAACACAAAGGGAACACATCTGATGTCATCCACGTCTGATTATTGATGAGTCAGAGTAGCTGTTGGCGACATCATTCCTCCAGCCAAAACCGCAGGGACAACAAGCTGATGTCATTAAATGAGTACCTCAACTATCCTTTTTTAAAAATGTATTGATTTATTCTTAGTTTGTTTCCATTAAGTGGCGTTTCTGAAAAGCCTCCAGCGGATCCAAACTCCCTCTAGCCCCAGTTCTGATGGGAACCACCAGCAGAGATCACAATCCTCCACTTTTAGCTTCTCTTCTTTGGTTTCCTGTGACATTCTTTCTCCTCCGTGTTCATGTGACACTGTTGTTGCCATTGATTTGCGTTTGTCTGTCTTTGGAGCTCGGTGTCCCATCTTTCCCTCTATCTGAAAAAGGCCGACCTGTTATTGGTCGATTGGATTTGAATTGATTTAACCGTATTCTGACTGACCGATCACGCAGAAGACGCGGACAGGACTTTGTACCATATTAATTAACAGCTGAGAACATATTCTAACCTTTCCAAAGACATCTACCTCTTAACAAAGAGAAATAAATGAATCTAAAGACCACTCATCAGAGCCATTTCAGGTAAGATTCATAAAGAATATTGACTTAGTGAACATGCTCTTAAAGCATCTGTTGTTTTAAACTCTTTTATGACGCCTTTGTACTGCAGACTTGCATCGTTATTTTTTTCTCTTTTTACTTATTTATTTCATTTTAAAAACATAATTTTAGTGTTAAAAAAACAAAAACGATCAACCAGTTTATGCTGTATTAAACCATTACTATATTGTGCAAAACACTGTAAAAAAAAAAGCTGTAATGTCATACATTGACCCTGAATCCATTGTCAGGAAATAAAAAATACGTCTGAAGATGTTGAAACTGTAGTTTCAGATACTTGGAGGGGCTCATGAAGTGGTTCATCCTCCGTCTTACAGAGGGATCATGTCATTCTAGAACCAGTAGCTTTTGTTGCTGCTGAACCGCACTCACAAAAAGAAATGTTTGTCTTTTATCTGGTCCACCTCGCTGATGCAATCGGTGTGGAAAAAAAACACTCCACTTTGTAGAGTAAACTTCCACTAAACAGCACCACAAAGCCTAACAGGACCATAGAAATGGAATAGACACTGAAATAATCTCAATCCAGGAGGAAGGAGTGCTGGGACACATGACATTAGCTTCACCTTTTTGGTCCTAAAAAGAAGATGGAAAACATTTATCTGGACTCTTTCCCGTTCAAACCTCCACAGAGGCACCTGTTGTTCTGGCTGATTTCCCCTCTTGTTTTTGGGGCTTTTACCGGGACGTGGGAGTGGTCGAGCGCTCACCTCGCTGCAGAAGGACTTGGGCATGAGGCAGGGAGGATCACAGGAGCTGTTGTCCACCGGGGGGTTCATGGCGGGACAGCCACCTGCCAGACAGTGACGCAGGCGGCGTTATTAAAAGAACACAAAGAGCGTCTGCACTGTTCTTCAGTTCTGGAGCCGAACACTCTCATATGATATCAACACAGAGCCTGTAAATTCATCAGTAACCTGATCTAACTCATGAGCTGGAATCCGTGTGAGATGATAGCCGCCCACCCCCCCCTCACTCCTCTCAGAAAGCCTCGGGTTTATCACATTATATTTTGACAATTCTGTGTTCATTTATTTTATTTTTTTTACCTCCTCCACAAAACTGCCACCGGCTGTTTTAGACTTGTTGAGCTTCTCGGAGCTCCTCACTTTAACTGTTAATTATTCAGGAACGCCGTAAGCCTAGTTTTCGCCCCCCCTAGCATGGGAGGGCTGAGCTGCTTATCGGTACGGTTAAAACGCAGTGACAGTGACAGAGACGTTTGTGCGTCGTCGGGTTTGTTACCTGCTCTCTGTGTGTGTGTGTGTGTGTGTGCGGGATTACTCGGTGCCCAAGCACAGGAAAAAAGAGCCGTGTGCAAATCTATAGTCTCCGATTAGAAACCCTGCCCTTTATCCGGCGCCGTTCACACAGAGCTGAGATTTTTCCTACATCACTGGCGTCTGATTACTGGACTCTGGGCTGCTGTGCATTTGCATACAGTGTGCATGCGGGGTCCTTAGTAACAGCCCTGCCAGGATCAAGAGGGATTTCCATCCAATTAAGCTGTGGGGGGATTTTTATTTTATTTTTTATAGATGGTACAGGAAGTGTTAACTGTGTGGTAGCAACTAGCCAAGCCAGTCTCTGCACTCTAAAAGTTAACAGAAGAATTTATTGGTGACAGATTTAGTTTCGCCTGAGTTGAATGAGGCATTAGGTTACCCACACTGAATGGAAAATGGGGATTTTGATTAAAACGCTGTGCACTTTGGGGCAAACGTGGCAATTTTGGTGAGACCTGGTTCGTATTGATCAGTTTGACCTGAGTTACTTGAGGGACAAAACCGATCCGTTGAGAAGAAGATAAACGAACAGACCAATGATTAGGTTATTTCTCAGCTTTAAATCATCTTCTCGGGTCCTAATGTCCGGCTGTAAATGATTTAGTCAGCAGATTTGCGGGTTCCTCACCGGTGACGTTGAGTCCATCAGAGCGCTGACACCATAAAAGCGGGCGGTCGGAGTTCTGACGACTGCTGGTGAACCACTTGTACTCGTAACACTCGCCCCCTGCAAGCCAAATAAAAAAAACAAAACCAATTAACATCCGTGAAGTGTGGCGGCAAAGACCATTAATCATGTGCGTGACAGATTAATAAAGCAGCTCCTAAGTTACGGTTATATAATAGGCCGCTGTCACAGAGCGTCCGGTTCAAGGTTTTAATCTTCAGTAAGAGCTTTTGCCTAATGACTTTCTATCAATGCTATTATGACTTTATCAATATCTCCATCAGGGCAGTAAATGAGTGTATTTCCCTGTGGAGTGCTGTGTAGCCGGTCATCGCCGGAGCCAATTCGGCTGCGTAAATGAACCATTTAACCTTGAACAAAAGGGGAAAGATGTGTTCTCCACAGGCCGGGGGACGGTATCACAGCTCCAGTCGATTGGACAGCTCTGTCTCCGGCTTTCTCAGAAACGTTCATCTGCAACTGAGACTGAGACTTCATCCCGAATCCCCCCTGTTTAGCCCTCCGCTTCCCACCAAGTTTTACTACCCTGGTAGCATTCTCAAAAGGAAGTGCGGACATTATTTCTGGAGATGGATGTGATATAAACTGCTCTGTGGAGGGCTGAGAAGGGTAGCGGGTGATGATTTTCAGCTATATTCACTCAGTATGAACGATTACAGCCAAGCAGTTTTTAAATACGGGCCCCTTTTGGACCACACAGGTTCAAAAAGCCCTGGAGCTTCCAGGCAAAGTGCTGGCTGTACCTTAGGAAAGCCCAAGACGAGGTTGTTAAACGAAGAAGAAAATGAGGTGGGCTTGATATGAGTGTTTAAGTCTTTTTGCAGCAAAGACAACCACCTGAGGGTCAAGTCTCTCCTCTTTTGTCGTTCGTTAATGCAAAAAAAAGGAACACAAAACCGACTCCTGTCGCTATCATGTGAGCTCCGTTCACTTCCGATTTAAAAAATACCAGCACGCCGGGGCAATGAACTGGAAGGATGGATGCAATTGACCGATTTAATGTGCTGAATCGGCATTTATTTGTAAGCCCAGAGCTTTAATTTCAACTGTAAAAATACAGCAGTAATTTCGGTGAGTGTGGGACACGATGTTAAATGTGTCAGAAAATATGATGCAGGTTTTTCCCCAGAAGGGAACAGAATGCCCAACTTTCAAATCTGTTGAGCATAAACAG